ACTGAGAGGTGACTGAAAGGATTTGGGGATGTGGGAAAAGTACTAGGAACCATGAGACATGATCCTCTTATAAAAAGGCATCTGAATACAATGTTTACCAACAACACGTAACAGCCTAGCAAAAGGAGAGGGGAGATTGGGGGCCCTTCAGGAGGAATGAAGAACAGTGTCTATAAACGCATAATTGTCATGATAAGCTAAGGTTCTAAGCTGCAAGGAGAAAATACGAGCCAAAAGAGCTAAATGTATAAGTAATTCAGAGGCTTTCAAAATTCTTAACTCCTTAAAAAGATAGTCAGTCCTGCTCATTGTCCCCTTGTGTATAATGCTATGTCCTACTGCTGCTTTGCATGCAAGTCCCTTCCCAAGAAGGTAACAAGGCAGTTTTCAAAGCAACCTTTCTTTTGAGAGGTTGAGTGGGATAATGGAGTAGATTTGGATTAAGTGGAAGAAGGAGAAGACTTCAATATAAAAGTCCTTAGTTACCCCCAATTTCTTTTTCTCATTTTTCTTACTTTTTCACTCTCTGTAAATATAATGGATTTTTTAGAAACAATTCTGATGTCTGTAGGCAGCCTCGCCATAACCATTGGCCCTCACTCTGAAGTCCTTTGCTCTGAGATAGTCCTAAGTACATTGCTACAAAGTCAAGAAGAATTTTGTGGGGGAGGGATGGTAGTTAGCTCTGGTTGACTGAAATACATTTCTCTCTTTACTGTATATAGTTAGAAGACTAGAAAAATTACTAGTCTATGAAGTTTCTTATGTTTCTAGTTTTTTTTTCTGTTGATTTTTATTTTTTGTGGCAGTCAGGAGTGACTTTAGGGTACTTTGGTGAACTCTATCACTGCTTAGAACTTGACCTCAGAACTTGAGATCCTCTGACACATCCTCAAGTAGCTGGGATTTCGGACCCGAGCTCCTGGTTACATGCTTGGTCTTTTTGCCACTGCTCTTGCCTTTGTTTTTATCTGACAGACAAGGATAGGGCTAATGTTAGAGAATGATTTGAATTTTGCTTCTTCTTTTTTTTTTTTTTAGAAAACTTTAAATCCTGACCAAATCATAAATATCACAGTTGAATGCAGGTGCAATATGATAGCCAGCCTCGTATTAGGCCATTTTAGATTATTTTTTTACTATATAAAATGGATATGTGTAGCTATTTAAACTGCTGTCAAAACTGATATATTAAGGCCATTAGAATATGAGTGATGACACTGTTGATTTTTATATTGATAAGAAGGCGTGTGCCGATTAGCACAGGGCCTTAGAAACATGGTCCTTGGAGCCTTGCTGCCAAACGCATCTCCTCCACCAGGGATAAGATGGTTGTGACGAAGCTACAGATCCCTCCTCTTTAGTCTCTTTTTTTTAATTTATTTATTTATTTATTTATTTATTTATTTATTTCTTGGTTTTTCGAGACAGGGTTTCTGTGCGTAGCTTTGCGCCTTTCCTGGAGCTCACTTGGTAGCCCAGGCTGGCCTCGAACTCACAGAGATCCGCCTGGCTCTGCCTCCCGAGTGCTGGGATTAAAGGCGTGTGCCACCACCGCCCAGCCAGTCTCTTTATACACTGAATAGCAATATAGTTCAAACTGTGACCCATGAGCCCTAGATAGTTAATAAATTAATGATTGTTATAAAATCAGTTGAAAACTTTATTTCAACATTGTCTGTTTGTCCATTTTCAAGGTTAACATATTTCATTTTCAAGATAAAGAGAAATAAAATGGAAGAAATTAATCCTTACAAGTAATTAAATATTGAAGTAAAGGGTTTTCTTGTTTGTCTGTCAATGGATGGCTTTTTATTTTCTTCTCCAAAGAAAACTGATGTTCTCAAACTAAGTGAAGGAGCTAGGCCACAAAGAATTTGATTGTCTTAAACAAGACTACGTGGTGGAGACAATCAGGTTGTTTCTGTGCTACAAATCAATTGACCAGCCCTGTAGAAGGGGTAGATAGGATGATAGTCTCTCTTTGACAGGACAACATTAGGTTTTTCAAAAGGAACCTGTGGTACAATTCCACACCATCTGGTAAACTGAAATACCAAGTTGTTCTAAAGTCCTCTCAGTGAGGGTTTTTTATTTGTTTGTTTCTTGTTAGTTTCTTTTTTCAACCACAGAATAGGTTGTGCTATAATAGAAGGCAGTTAAACACCTCGTTTTTTAAAACAAAAAACTAAATATTTGAATACTCAGATTTTTTGCCAGCTCTCTTCTAAATATTTTTATTCAAGTTAAGCCAAAATACAAAAGCGTTTTTGTAATTTTTAAAATATCACATTTCCGCAAAAAAAAATATGCTTACTTAATACTGCCTTCTATACTAGATTGCTAGCCTTTTGAAGTTAAGGTACAGTCATTTATTTAATGCATTATTGACACCAGGAAAAGTGTTTGTTGAATTGATTTTATTGGATAAACATATTTTTGAAAGCAATAAGATGACAAATGTGTTGAATGTAAGTGAAAGCTTAAGGCAGCCTTGCTTTTACTTGTTTTAATGTGTATAATGTCCTGTAGGAATGAAAAGGAGATCATTTTGGCACAGAACATTCTTTGTTTAATTCTGACACCTGAATTTCTTAGTTTTCTGGAGCTCTTACATATATATGTTATTGAAAGAAGATACTTTAGTTATACTAAAATGTTTTAACAAACAAATTTGTGTATGAAATTTGATCTTTTAGACATAACTAAGGGAGAAAGGACCGTTTAGAGATTAGATTCCCATTAGCTTCCTGTGGGCTGAATGAAAAGTGAATCAATTGCTAGCTAAAGAACATGGTCAAATCTGCAGAGCACAAAAGGAAAGTTGCCTGTTTAATAGTCTATGTGAGAGATAATGAAGAAGGAGAAAGAGGAGCCTTTAGGACCGAGAATTATCTGACTAGATTATCTAAAGCCAAACTTTTATACCCAGAATTTGACCATTATAGGATATTAAAAATAATAAACACTCAGATTGCTTAAAATTCCAGACTCATTTCAGAGCGCTAATTTTCACCATCTAAAAATCCTCTCCTTCAGCCTTATAGAAATTGGCCTTCAATTTGCCATCAAAAATAACTAACATCCACAGATAACCAGTATCAGGCTTCTGGAACAATAAGGAATTCAGCAGACTCTTCCTGCAAAGGAATAGTTAACTGGTGAGATACTAAATACAGCAATAGTTTAAAGTGTCTGGGGTCATTTTCAAGGGAGACAGCAAATGCAGAAACATCTATTCAGGCAAATCTACTGTGTCTTCCTAAGGACGGTGCTTGTGGCATTTGAGTGACACCCCACTCCATCATCATTGCCCCTCATGGTGCTGCATTAGAATTTCCATACCTATCTCTGATCTAGAGCTAGAACTTCACCTGAAAGGTGGTCTCCCGTGTGTCTCACCTCTTCCCTTCCCTTCCAGCTCCCTGTGTGGAGCTCTTTTCTGTGGAGGCACAGCCAGTGGGAAAGGCCTGTACCTCTTCAGCCAGCCTCCACTGATAAGGGAATATAATTCATAAAGGGGCAGACAAAAGAAACAAGCAACTGTGATCATTGTTTTAAAACTACACCAAGCTGGACATGCTGGAAAAACAATTTATCACATACAAGAGAACTTGGGGAAACTAACAAACTGACTTATCAGAAACTGTCAAGAAAAGAGATTGGTTGAGAGAGAGCAGAGGCCAGTAGACCAGAATGTCATTGAAGCTGAAAAACCATCGACAGAAGCAGTTGGATAAACAAGTTGAGAAAATCCAGCAAGCTTTGAGCTGCCATTTATCTGTCCCTCTATTAATAAAGCGCAGTTCACAAACTAGTCACCAGTTCTGTCCAAAAAAGCATTGTTATTTGTTATACATCCTGGCATGTATACTGCAGTAAATTTACCTTCCTTATTTTGACTTTCATGGGTTCATATTACCGAAGATAAATCCAATCTCAGTTTTTACTGTATTCATTTGTATCCTCTGAATATTTACAATAATGGTTTATCTATCTATTTGTATGGACTATTTTAAAACCATGCCTTGTTTTTTGTTACTAGGCTTATGGAACCTGACCTCTTTAGGTGTGGTTTCTAAAATATGAGACCAAGGTAATTATTTTAAGAATTCTTCTCAAAAAAGTCTTACCTTTAATTTGTTACCATTGAGGAGGATTTTGAGGGCCAGCAAGATGGCTCAGCTGGTGAAGCTGCTTGCTGGACAAGCCTGGCAACATGAGTTCAGGCCCCAGAACATGTGTAAATGTGGAAGGAGAGGACTACTACCCAAAATCTTTCTCTGAGGAGGATGTGTGTGCCGTGTAGATCCATGCAGACATCAGACACTTGCATGCAACCATAGTAGTAAAACCAGAACCTTTTAAAAGGATTTTGAATAAGTTGGGCCACTCCTGTCGGGTTTTTTTTTTTTTTTTTTTTTTTTTTTTTTTTTTTTTAAATCATGGACAAACAAGGGCTGTCAGTGCCTCACTGAGAACACTCTAGTCGTCCTGTGTAACCCTAAAAGGAGCCGTCCTTTTGACAAATGGTCTTTACTGGAGCCTCACACACAAAGAAGAAAGTCTGGCAGGAACACGGATGATTAATGTCAGAGCAGGGAAAGCTCCATCTGCATCTCTGCTTCGGTTTACTGTTCATGTGAAGTAGATTTTCATACTGCAGTTATGCTAGGTGTGTTTCTTTGCTGTCTTCTTTTTGACATTTTAATGTTAATTCTAGTCGCTACTTTATAAGCTATGAAAATGTACTAGTCTACAAATAGCTTTACCTCATTTAAATTTTTACACAAGATGAAAATAGAAGTTTGAACAGTTTTCCTGTTTGATAAACTTACTTTAAAGCTGTTAGAAAGGATGTAAAGCAAGACTCATACTGACATTCAGTTTGCTCTCTTAACGGGTTAAACAAAACGTTACCATAGCCCTTTCCCCCCAGAGGTGAAATATATAAACTGTATCTAAAAGCTGAGGTATTCACCACTTACTAGGTACTAGCAATGTATGGGGACGAGGGGTGGATCCTCACAGACCTGGCCACTGCCGAGTATAAGTCAATGCTGGCAACGTCCTTACCTGTACACACACACACACACACACACACACACACACACACACACACACACAGATAGAGACCGCTGGGGAACTCAGTCAAGGCCGTGCTGTGCCTGGTGCAGAGCAGGTGCTCAGTGTCAGCACCTCTGCCACCTCATCACTAGCACTCCCGAGATCACAGTTACCCTGGAAGGAACAGACCTCTGACAAAGCACACAAGGACCCCGAGACTTCTCTGTGGACACGGAAAGCACAGCACTGAGGTCCACTAGGCCTTGCTGATCTACCAACACTGCCCATGTCCTCCCTTCTAGTCTATACACAATAGAATAGAAGCAGGCTGCAATAACTACAGCTTGCCCAAATTTACTTTCTCCCTTGCCATATCAGTCCACCAACCCCTGCAGGATCCTTGCTGTCATTACACCTGGACTGCAGAGTTAACTAATTCCCTGCTGGAGTCAAGTATTGTAACACCTGCCTCTTCCCCTGAAAACCTGAGGCACATTCGCAGACGTAATTCATTTTACAAGGACATTCAAGTAAATACCTTTTATGTTTGGTCTGGGTACTTAGTTCATACTAAAACTAGAAAAACACTAAAAAAAATCTTAGAAATCTTCAAGAACTGCTAAAAAACGGAAGTACAATGAGTTCATAGATAACAATCGATTATAAAGAGGGTTTTTTAAAAAAAAAACCCTTTAAAAAGAAATCAAAAACACTATCAACATTATTAAACACTGGAGAAATCAGGATGTGGACCCAGAACAATTGCCAGCTAAATCAAAGATTCTTCAAATGCTGCTATGGAGGGAAATGGCTTAATATCAGACAAGGACAAATTTGCAGGTTTTAATTTAGTATGGTATCATGTAACACATAAAAGTATGAGACACTAATAAACATAAGATTAATCCATGCAAATTACTTTCTCTTTTCCTCTGTGTGGTGTCTTTCTGGTCCTTCAATGGGCACAGCCTAATAAGAACCAGAAATGTTTGCAAAATTCCAAAGGACTGTTCTCTTGGTTCTATTTCATTATTGTCATGAAATACCAGAGACAGGCTGATTTATACAGAAAACGTGTTTTATTTAGCGAATAGGGTTTTAGATTCTAAAAAGCTATCTTGGCCACCTCACCTCAAGGTAGACTGCAGTCTTAGGAGCCATCACTATATGGTGGAACAGGAATCCAAACAAAAGCTTGGCTGGAACAAGGCCTAAGCCTTTCCTAACAATCCTCTTGAAAGAATTGATAATCGTTTTTTAGAACTCCCATTTGTCCTAACCAACCACTAAGCCCACCTAATAAAGCTTTCACCTCCTTTCATACCAAGCCCTCAACACATAAACTTTTGAAGAAACAAATATCAAAATCACAGGAGTGGGTTGGAAACATTAAGAACCAGCGTGGTGTTCTGAATTGTAGTAAGATTGGGCAATAACAAAAATCAGTACTCTTAGAAGATACCGTGGGTATACATGGAGGTTTACTGGTGCGCCAACTTCTCAGTGGGCTTTCTACCTTGTGTAAAGTGAACCCTGTTTCAAAACTTTGTTTCCCCTGTTGAGATTAACAGGAAGCATTTACAGTCTCAGTAGTGTTTTGACAGGAAGCTATGCAAGGGCTCCAGGTAAGCCTGCAAAGCTAGCCGAGCCTTCAAACAAAAGATCACAATAGCAGTGGCTGAGGACTACCCCATAACTGGTCATCCTCCAGTCAGCTAAGCTGGAACTGTTCAAATCTAGTTTGCTGGCATGTCTTCACCAAGACAGAGGGCCAGGAGCCCTCTTTCACCTAACAGGAGATGGGCAGAAAGGTGGCTCTGCAACCAGGCTCTCAGAAAAGAAATCAAAGCACCCGTGTTCATCTCCATAGGCACCTTGGTGCAATTCCAAGCATCTGGAGAGGGCATGAGGATGAATGAACTGTACCCACGTCTTACAAGTCAGTGGCCTAGTGAGGGATTTAGTAGTGCTAAGTCTACAAAAATCAGTACGTGCTTTCTCTATTAATAGGATAGATAATATGTCAATCCAAAGGAATAGTCCCATTGTCTGAACAAGTACTTTCTTCTACAACACAAATTTTTTTTCTTATATTCTTGGAGATCAGGAGTCTAGATCAGACTGATGTGCTTCTTTCAAAGGTCCTCAAAGATCTGTCCTTTTTCTCCTCCAGCTTCACAATCTGCCTGTATTCACCACTCATGGCTCCTCCTTCCATCTTCCAACCAGGAACATAGCATCTTATCATGCTCTGTACCAACTCCCTACTGTAAAGGTTCTTGTGGTTAGATCAGTCCATGAGGGAGTTGAGGATGGCCCCCTTCTCAGCACCAGGGCCTTACTTGCATCTGGAGACTACCTCTGCCATGTGAAGTTACATATTCAGAAGTTGTGGACATCTTCATAATAAGTATTTATTTACTAAATGATTACCAGAAGTGTGTGCATAGTTACTTGGAGAAGATGCATTTTATTAAAGGTATTTACATGTTTCTTATGTTCATATCTTGGTTTGTCTGTTTTTAAGGATGTTGAAGAATCACAAAACCACACTGGCGAACCCATTGGAGATGACTACAAGAAAATGGGAACACTTTTTGGTGAACTGAACAAAAACCTCCTCAACATGGGCTTCACAAGGATGTATTTTGGAGAACGAATTGTGGAACCAGTAGTGGTCATTTTCTTTTGGCTTATGCTATGGTTCCTTGGCCTACAAGCCCTTGGACTAGTTGCTGTTCTTTGCCTTGTCATTATTTATGTACAGCAGTAAAACACTGGACATTTGGTAGCCATGTATGTAACTGATAGAGCTATACACTTGGGCTTTTGAAAGCCAAAATGGTTTGACATATTTCATATTGTGTACTGACTGTTTTGTAATTAAAATTATAAATGAATTTCTTTAAAAAGCAACTCTTTGTTATAACAAGGATGAATATATATTTTTGACTATATATTAGCTTATTCAAACTCTTTTTCACTCTTGTGATCTGTACCTACCTTGAGACACCTTCTTCCCAATGCCACATCTGAACATGACCCAACAGTGATGGGAAATAGCATGGCACGGAGCTGCAGTGAAGCGATATAAATCTTGTAAAGTTCCAGTGAAACATTTTGGAAGAAGAAGGGAAAAGTAGCTAAGAATAAGTTTTAATTAGGAAACTGTTCCACCCCCACCTCCACTGAAAAATCCCATTTGGGGAGGATAATTTGTCTCTTTGTCGTTTCTGCGTAGTCCAAAGCAAAGTAAAGGAGAACTGCCACATACCGCCATAGTGCCGTGAAAATGAATAACGCTAGCTGTTTCCAGAAGACTGACAATAATATATTTATTATTGTTGGTGAAGTTTGGGGGTGTAATGTAAGTTTTTTATGTGTTATCTTTGGGCCTTCATTACATTGTTTGTAAAGTTAGAGACGACTCTGGTGCTCATTTCTCCTTGTGAGTTCTAAGGCCGCACGCCTGGCAGTGCCTGTAATTTGTACCTAGCCAGTTGCATGTTTTTCCTAGAGGTGTTTTCAGTGCATTTGTTTCCAAAAGTTTATAATTTTATAGTTCTTTTCTAACAATTATTCTAAGGTTTAACACAATGCCTTTCCTGTCATAGCATGGTGCCCACCCCTAAAGAATGATTTCTATCATATAATAGACAAAAACCAGATCATTTTTCTTGGATATCTGTATTGAAGAATACAAAAGTACAGAATAAAATCACATGCTTAAATTGAGAACTCGGTGGCCACTTGTAATATTCTAGGATTAAAGCCAATTGGCTAGCCATGTTTTTTACTGTGTACTGTGGGGTTTTATATTGAAACAATCATTTCTTTAAATATACTTTGAAAATGAAAAGTGACTTTGATACTTTTGATTTTGTTAAAGTACCTGAAATCTTTACCATTTTGTCTAAGAGTCATCTATTTGAACAAAGAAATTTAAATACAAAAATGGGGCGGCGAGGTATTTTTGTTTGGCAGGACCTTAACTAAAGCAAGAGGGTGTTTACTAGGCCACTTTGTAAAGTTCTTACTCATGCAGTCTTAAACATTATTCTGTAAGAAATTCTGAAACAGAAAATTATGAAAACAGGAGCACTAACATGTATTGTGCATCTGTGTATTGTGTATAAACATAGGCCTCTAAAATTTGGCTTTTGAAAAACAAGAGTTTGTACTATATTGTGTTTTTATTGTGTTTGTGATTGTTTTTGTAACCACCTTTCTGACTTGAGTATCAGTGCAGGGTGTTTGGGAAAAGGTCCCCTTTGTGTACAGTCGGAGTGCAAGGTTCTAAAAGAAGCCATGAGATTTTGCATGTGTGCACAAAATGCTAATGAGTACATTTTTCCCTAGTGCTACCAGGAAGGCTAATTTCCTTTTGGAATGCAAAATAAAAGATGCAGTGTACATAATAGCAGCTCTGGTCCTACCAGTGCTTCTTGTTGTAAATGCTTTAAAAGAAGACCTAGGGTTTATTGCATAATACCCTGTCAACACTATACATGCACATGCTGGTGTTAATGGGTATATTTTATGAAGAAATAGGGTCATTTGCTATCACCTCCACATATGTTATGGATTAATGTATATGCCATCAAAGTTTTTGCTTAGTATTGAAAAAAACTTCATATAAAATATGTTTTCTTATTCAACATGGTAGAATACCGATTGAACTGCTATCCTGCAGTGAAACAAAATTTCCTTGGTTCATGGTATTTAAAAAATAGATTCAAAGTGATTCTCAATTATTTCAGTTTTAAATGTAAGTTACAGAAAGACTCCTTATAAACCAAGAAGTAGCAGTTAAGTGCTAAGGTCCTCAAATTGCTGGTGTGAATGGCACCCATACTTTGAGCCTTGTGTTCAAAGGAAAAGTCAGGAGCTAACACCAACCGACTGCTCATCTGTAGATCCATCCTCTTTGAACTGAACAGTGTTTTGTACAACTCATTTCTTGTGTTGGGCTGCCATTCTAATCAGAACAGAGTGCATTTGTACCCAGAGCTGCTCGCACTGGCTAACAAGAGCCTATACTGTACGCTTTCCTGCCTTTGGTGACATCAAGTTGGTAGATTAAATTGGTTCTGGTGAAAATATTTACATCATAAAATTTGGCAAGCACTACAAAGGAGGACTTTTTTTTCTTTTCTAGAGAGCCAGTTGTTAAAAAAAACCCTCAGCATATTCTCAATCAGCTACCCTGGAGGCCACATTTCCCTGGCTACCACAGTCTACAAAGAAAAGCAGACAACAAGGTTATGAGACAAGAGAAGCACATGCAGTGTGTCCCCACATACCCATCCAGAATCACTGCTCTGTCTTTTCCATGGGAGGCTGGACCATAGTTATCTCTGAAGTGTGTGTCTGATTGGACACTGTGATGAGAGAAAATCTCCCTAGGCTGTCAGTGAGCTGCAGACCAACAAAGGACAAGCCAGGAGATCAGGAGAGGAGAGACAAGACTTAAGGCACCACGAGTTAATACAAGACTTAAAGCTTAAGTTAAAGGCCAGTTTTAATTTAAAATCTTAAAAATAGTCAAATCAAGGCAGTGAGAAATCCAGAGATCTTTAGTTTATAGCTTCTATTTAAGTTGTTTCACAAATGTTTCTTGATTACAGATTATTGAAACTGCATTTGCCTTACAAAGTGAACAAAAGAAAAAAATCAAATTATACTTTCAGATCTGCTAAAACTCTAGTAAATACTTGGCCAGGATGAACATACAAATTAAAGAAGAATACACAAGCCAAGGCTTTGGCATTATTGGCGGATTTAACCTTTTGTAACTCCTGTTTCTCTACCCCAGACTTACTTTTGAAGTTCCTGGAGGTCAGACCAGCAGCTGACGTCTCATTACTCCACACACCTCCTGCTGTTGCTATGTGTCCTAGCTGCTCCTCCTGCATCTCCAGGTCAGAGCACCGGGCAGACGAGAAGATCACTCAGTTTAAGGGCTGGCTGCTTGCTTACAAAGTTCCTCAAACTCAGCACATTCAGAAGACCTCACATCTTGCTCCAGTCTTGTCTTTGGTTCCCCTCCCCTTCAGCATTGGCACAGCCTCTCTCTAGCTCCTGTCTCTCCAGTACTGCCGACATATAACAATGCCTAAGTCCTGTCTGTTTTGTTTCTAATGTCATTTATCTTTCCACTTCTCTTCATTTCCAGCATCACTCACAGTCCATGTAGCCATCTTCTCACCTGGGAGAATTCCCGCCTCTGAGAATCCCAATCGGTTTCCCTACCTTCATTGCCCACTCTGTAGTTAAGCAATACTTCTAAAATAGGACTTTGATCTCCTTGATGTCAGTGTTTTTAATGGCTTCTTGTTGCTATTATGGCAAAACCTATTCTCTATCATAGTTTTGTGGTCTTTCATGAACTATTCTTCCACACCTCATCTTTCCATGTCACTATCCTTCCAAGACTCAACTACACTGCTTTTATCAGCTTCCTGAAAGACACACCCTTTCTTCCAGAACTTCATACGTGCTTTACTCTCGTTAGCCCCAACCCCCACCCCAACTGGCCAACAACTCCACGGAGTACTCAACTTAAACATCATTTAACTTCCACTTTAAGTCCAGTGTGGGCACCTCGTGTGCTTGGTTCCCCTTTTCTGTAGAAATCGATCAACAGTACTCATGCTATACAGCCTATTGTCAGTTTCTTCCATTAGACAGTAGGTTTCTCATGGGCAGAGAACATGTCTGTGTCTATAGGTACATTGCCAGTGCCTACCAGGACACCTGGCATGTAATAGGTTCTCAAAGTGATTGTCAAATGAGTAAACCAACCTCACATTCTCTGTTGTCTATTAACAAGCCTGGGGATGATGGCTTGTGGCTCTTGGCAGTGTGCTTGCCTTGCATGCTTAAAGCCCTGGCTTCTTCCCCAGCACTGAGAAGAAAAAGAAGGAGGAAGGAAGAAGACCTAGAGTTGGTTGTACATCAGAATCCCAAAAATGGTAATTGTTGGGTGCTAGAGAAATGACTCAGCAGTTAAGAGGTTATGGCTGCTCTTCCAGAAGTCCTGAGTTCAATCCCCAGTAACCATGGTGGCTCACAACCATCTATAATGCGATCTGGTGCCTTCTTCTGGCATGCAGAAGAACACTGTATACATAATAACAAATACATAATACATACATAATAAGTAAATTATAATAATGTACATATATAATAAGTAATAAACACACATACTGTATGCATAATAGTCAATAATCTTTTTTTTAAATAGTAATTGTTCATAAGGAGTGGTTGGGTGTGTATATTCTAATAACTTTTTCACTGAGTGGGGTTGCTGTTTGTATACATATACAGCATTGCTACCATACATTCACATTTTTAGGGAAAATGCATTGTTGATGCCATGTTTGGTTGAGTGACTATTTCTCAAGAAAGAATGTTTTATAATAGATATGTTTACTGATGGTACTAAAATTTCACTCTACCAATATTTTTCAATTAGGTTTTATCTGCTAAATTTAAATTTTTTTCAAAGAACCTTAAAGCAAGAATTTTCAAATATCTGATCTTGATATTTTAGGGCTCCAGAACAAGTTCACCAGTCCACTTAGCTCAGCAGCCCAAATGTTCTATGTTAAATAACAAGCGTATGAAGTACTTTGCTAATCTTTCTAATAAACAATGTTCTCTTCCAACCCCGCATTCCCAGCGTCTCCTCTGTCTCCCTGCACCGTGTGCTACTCTGTAGGTAATTGCCACCTCATCAAGTTCGAAATTGCCAGAGTAACGGCACACCTG